TACATTACTCCGCCATGCAGCCATTATCTTTCCACGCTTATTTCATTTTTAGGTTTAATTGTAGCACGAGATCTAAACTTCGGGCGACCATACTGTGAAAACTCAACGGAAAAATACCACAACAGAGCATGCAACGAACAAGAAGCTGCTGGCCATTGGTACTTTGACTCCATTGCACAGGTCGCTGTGGCAGCAGTTGACATCACACTTTGTTACCTTAACCCCAAACAGTCCGGCGAGTTTGCAACCAGCTTCGTTGCATTTCGATTTCACAACACAGGCTTTTTGGAATTTCTTCGTAGCTTGGCCTTGCTCTTCCAATTCTATGTCTAACTTTGCACAGGTGTTTGATTCGGGAGGACATGTCGTATTTTTCCCAGGAACACAGTCATCCCAACTCTTTGTCGAGGTGCACTGGTAGCACTTGATGCCATGTCCTGCAAACCAAAGCAGAAAATTGTTATTTCTAAACTTTCAGAGCTGAATCAGTTTCTCAATAGCCTATGTCCGGGGTAGCTGTATTTGTCGTTTTCGATGCCTGAGAAAAGGAATAACTTTGAAAAGACACACCCGGTGCCAGCAGAGCCTTTGTTTCGGTTGCTCGATAACTGGCGTACTCGAAAAAGACTCTGCATGAATGAATAGTGATATCTTTGTCGAACATGCGCTGTATGTTGCTAAGATACAATAGGCCATTTCCGAGTTCCAAAAAATCTCACTTTCAAAGCGAGGCTAAGTGCAAAGCCATTGATATGAAAATGCTTTTTAATTATGATGCAAATAAAACTCATTTTCACAACAAAGGTTTCGCACTTAGCCTTGTTTTGAAAGTGAGATATTTTGGAACTCGGAAGTGGCCTATTTGATACAATTTTAAATCCAGGCCTAATGGCCGTGCGCTTGGTGCAGCGGGCTCAGTTATGACCATCGGTTTATCATTAAACGGATGCTCCCACTCGAAAAAACCAGTTTGACGAGAGAAACAAAGATAGTCTAGTCTCAAAGGTCTGACGTGATTCAGGTAGAACCTCCTTTTCTCCTCCTCGTTGAAAAAAACGGAAAAAAAAAGCTCAGTTCGTAGGGTTGAAAAGACAGTGACCGCACATGCCGCATGTGGAATCTGAACTTTAAAAAAATAATATTTCTAATAAGCATGTTGACCGGTATGGTAGAATGTGGAGCGAATCGACTTTTTCGCGAAACGTTTGAAGGGGCAGTAGTGTCGCCAAGAGTTTGAGCTACTTGAAAATCTAGCTGAAGTTTTTAAATTTGTATTGATTCCATCAGTAATTGTACATAAAAAAACAGAGGGGATAGGAAGGACTGACTTGAAAGGATCGAGGCTAAGTTTTTCAAATTCAGATATGTGCTTAAACTGAAAACACCTCTTATCTTGGTTTCTGTGACCTTGTAGAAAACGAACTGATCATGACCGTTATCTTGTGTTTAGTGGCTTTTTTTTCCCATCAGAATTCAAGCCTATTACTACAGGGGCAACACGACTGTAACGAACTGGCTTGCGCATGTACCAGCTTACTGACCTTACTTGTTACCTAAATTCAGACACGCCAGCAAGAACTATAGTTACCAAGAAGCGATTGGCATGCATCTTGATCTGTTACGTATGCCAATATCAAGACAGCTCTGGTCGTTAGAACATGACAAAATCTTATAACTTGTGGTGAAAATTTGATATTGATGCTCAATATTGATTAAGTGCTTGTTCATATCTTTTAATCTTTGAGTTCCGCTAGTTCGGCATGTTTGAAATTGGTACTTTGCATGGTTCCGAGGGGCTCCTCCGGGCTCTAAAAGGCTATATATACATGTAGGTAACGTTATTTTTTTGCATTGGCCAAACAGTATAATAACCGCATTGAATAAAATATCCAAATGACTGCTTCACTGTAAAAAAAATAAAATAAAATAAAAACTTGAGAAAGAAAGAAAAAGGAGAGAAATAACGAGAGAAATACTTATATCAAAAAGCTAAAAAAGAGAATAGATGGGGTAAACTGGAAAATAATGCTTAAAGCACGGATTACACAATAGGTAAACTTGAAAAATTAAACAGCAACGTTTTCCTGTTCAAGTTAATTTGCAGTGTGCCAATTTCTTTGAAGTTGTCTTGGAAATGGTCTACTGCAAACAAAGACTTCGTCAAAAATAGGCTTTTCCCTTCCTGGATTCGCATCTGTTAATTAATCAACATTTCATGTCCAAACATGGGGAGTTTTTGTCTAACTTTTATGTGATTTTGGAATAGTAACCTCACTGGGTCAATAAAGACTATTAAAGACTAACTCTAGAAAACGTTTCAGCCAGGTTATCAATATTACATTGCTTAATTGTAATGGCACATTATCTTTATTATTTTTTTTTCTTTTTCTCCTATCTTACTATTTTTCTTTTTCAAATTACTAGCTAATGGGGCACAGATTAGTTTTATTAGAGATACCCTCTCCCGTGATTTAAATTGTATCCGTCGTCCTTAGCGAGTTATTTTTTTCTTTTTCAATTTTTTCACATTGTACTAATTGTTCCGAATATTTGTGTGTTACATCAGGGTTGAAAAAAACTGAAAAAAAAAAATGAATAAAAGGAATTAGGTTGTTTTGAGGTAACGAGGATAGTTAGGCATACTGCAAGAAAGAAACAGGTGTTGTAGCACGACTTCTCGATATTAATTGGAAACCTTTAGGTTCGAGGACGAGATTTGACTGAAAGCTTTATTTTGGTGTATTCTCCGAAGAAAAAATAGACCAAAGGAAGCTAGCACTATTATCTTTATTGAAGGAGTTTAAGTCCTCCCCCTATAGCAAAATGATAAAACTTCAAACATTTGTACAAACTCAGGAAGGGAATGGACGACCATTTCAGAGACGATGTACAGCTCACAATGAAAATTTTTGACACGGTTATTACCCCAATACTCACGTACGGAAGCGAGGTCTAAGGGGTTGATCACGACGGAAAGCTAGAAAATGATCCTATTGAGTTTGTACAAACAAAGTTCATTAGGTGGCTATTGGGAGTTAACAAATTCTGTAGCTCAAATGCGTGCAGATCGGAGGTAGGCCGTTTGCCAATATATAAGAACGAAGACAAAGTGCAGAGCCATTAAATACTGGCTGAAATTTTGTGAGCCGGAGCACCAAAATAAACTCTCTGGAATAGTATTTACAGATCAAATTGGCCAAGGCAAAAAGGAACTTTGGCCAAGCAAGTTAAAACGGCAATTAAATCTCGCAGGTCTTGGCGACATATGGTCAGCGAAAACGAACACCCCCGCTACCATGATCTATATACGACAGAGACTCTTAGACATAGAACAGCAAACATGGATTAGCGAAATACACAATGATGAACGAAAGCACCCGCAACAAAAAAAAAAACAAACTAAGAACTTTTAGGAAATTTAAACTTACCCATGACTACGATAATTACCTCCCAAATGTAAGAAACATCAATCATAGAGTAGCAATCACAAAGCTAAGATTAAGCAACCACAAACTAGCAATTGAAACTGGGCGATACGTTAAACCCTATCAACCATCAGACCAAAGAATCTGTCCATTGTGTAAAACTGGATTAGAAGAATTTTTCGATGAATTGCATAGCTTATAGGGATCCTAGGAGAGAGCTGTTCAATACGCTAAAAAAAGGAAACTAATCTTTTTCTTGACTCTATGACTCCAAGCTCAGCTTTCGCAACGTTGATAAGTATGAAGCAAGGAGAGAAAACGCAAAAAATTGTGGCTAAATACGTATGTGATCGCTTCCGCGAAAGAGAAAGACGCGTTAAATATAACCTTGTCTAGTTGTATAAATTTTACAAATGTTCATCTTTGTAATTGTTGCACTAAAATCTTTGTTATCGTTGTAAACACATGTGTCTGTAGGCGCTCTGTTGATAATAAAGCAGCTATCCTATCCTATCCTATCCTATCCTATCCTATCCTTTGATCGACTTTGACAACTTCCTTACGCCACTACGGCTTTTTCGCCCTTGAAAAGCGGTAGTAGCCGTGAATAACGACGCGTCCTATCACTTTTTTCCGCTAAAATGACGCTGGCTAACACCCGAGCACTTGATATACTTACTTTTGAGAATTTCTCGTACTCGTAGTCGTCCTCGTCTTAGAATCAAAGGACTCCATTACTCGACTATTGCTAGTATTTGCACACGAAAAACTACCGTTCTACTTACCTATAGAGAGGCAAAAGGCAAAAATCAACAATGAGGCAAACAAAATATTCATTTTCTTTGAGTTGCTGGAAAACGGAACCTTCAGTATTATATTACCGTACTGAGCACAATGAGGCATGCGATATACACCCATGGATGTATATATACAAATTTTTGAGTGGCACCGGCCAAATATCTCTGAGCTGATACATGAAAAAGATTTTTTCAAAATATTTGAAATCATATATGTCAGTGAAAAGTGCTAAAGTATCAGGGTATTAGTCCCATATGAGAAAGGGCGGAACACTCGTCGTCTCGTTTAGGAGTGTAACGTGCAGATTTTGATATCACCAGGAAAGATTGGAGCGTCAATTCATCACTTTTCCAAAACAGGTATCGCTGGTGGATGTGCTTTAAAAAAACAAAGCAAAGCAAAACGCAAGCAAAACTAAGAAGAAACAAGTATTGTCGTGACGGCTTCTGAATCGGATTAGAAAAATAATAGATTTTATTTAGCTGTCTTTTTTAGAATTGTAACTTCTGGAAGTAAAAAAACTTTTAACTCACGCTCAGATTTGAGTCCCCGCCCCCTTTAGATGGGAATATCTACGTGCCGGGACAACCCTTTGTTTCTCGTAAATGCTGAACCTTCATAACCATAACAATATCCAAATCTTGCTAACAACTGAACTATAATAGCGAAAAGTCAAAGAGAAAAGCGGCGACTTGAGCTTTTTAGGGAAAATTGAAATAGCTCGAAGCCTTAAGGCGTACTAAGGAATGATAACTAAACTTAATTTTCTCCTGCTGTTCACTGAGAGACCATTTGATTATATCAGCGTACACATTAGAAGAATTCGCTTGCATTGATACTGTTCTGGTAAGGGCGGATCTCTTAGCTACTGTCGCATAATTTTAACCTGCCCGGCTACGTGGGCCGGGTAAGATTTACCTACTTTAATAAAAAAGAGGACATGAACGAAAGACTGTGCGGAAACGTAAAAGTGAATTTAAACGAGGTTCACACGTAACGTTTAAAAATTGAATATAAAAAGGCCAATGAATAAAACTATAAATAGCATATAGATAAAATATTGGAGTCGGATTTTCTTTCGCTAATGTTCCTTCCGTTTTGCAAGTGGAAAAAATGAGGAAAAGGACAGGCTGCACGGATGTAAGAGCCTTGCGGTTCTGAAAAATTCATGAAGAAAATTTGATCGAATATTGAGAATGCGGCCGAAACTTGTACCATGCATGAGCCAATATTAGAAACTCAAAGATTACAGACGCAGTATCAAGTGAATTCTTCCAATATTTCGTGTTTCCTGCCAGCAGAGATCTCTCAGGACGAGGCAAAAATCTCTCATTTTTGCCTCGTCCTGAGAGACCTCTGCTAGCAGGGAATGTTTCGTGCAGACTACGTTGAAATAATCCTGGAAGGTGCACTCCTAAACTAAAAATGGACTTAGCGAACTGCAAGAAGTAACTTATCAATTCCTAATAAGGTGATGTTACACAAGATGACTCGCAACGGCGATTTTTAGCGCAACACAGCGTTTCAACATTGTTGCGACATAGATTCAAATGATTACAGCATTGTTCCAACATTGCAACGCTGCGTTGCGCTAAAATCATCGTTGCAAATCGTCCCGTGTAACATCACCTTTAGGCCGCCTTAAGACTTCAAAAAACAATAATCAAGTTTTGTGAAGAATTAATGTCCCAGACTAATATTGTCAAACCCAAAGAATTCACGTTTTCGTCCACCTCCATTCTTTCCAGTTCCTACCTAAGCCAAAAGACACATATTCATCATTTTTAGCCAGACATGAGGTCACGGATTTTCAGCAAGACTCTTATAGTAAAGTACTCGGGGGAAAGGTAATATTAGCACAAAAATACACTGAGACAAATGCATAAATCCAGTCAAATGAAATATCAAACAAATTAGCCCCTTTAAAAAACCAGGATAAATAGATATCCCTGAATAAACAAATAAAATATTTTGTTTTTCAAAAAAGACTTGCCAATTTGTAATTTTTGATAAAGTCTCCGTTGGCCACGCGGGCACAGTCATGAATCAGGCACACACCTAACAGGATAGCGAGTTCCCACATACTCGATCATGAATTCCCTAAGACGCCCATGGAAAAATGCCATTTTTTCAAATGGGATATAGCAACTTTGAGACCACTAGTAATCATATAACATTTGAACGATAATTTCTCAGTGTCGTATGCTATGATCACACCGGCCGACGTTACAACACATATCGTCTTATGTAGCAGGGTGGTAAAAAGATTTTGTGCCATTTCTTCAATAGTGTTTCTTTCAATGATATTTTAATTTTGGAGTGAAAATTTCCAAAAATTTAATCAAATATAAAGCTTGCACTGAAGTTGTTTGCCATGTGACAAAATCAGAAGGGTTATACAAACGAAAACTGGTACCATAATTACTGCGCTTTTCACAAACATGCGAACTCTAAAGTTCACAAGCCGCCTTCCCAATTGTGTTTTTCGCTGCCGTCAATCATAATTACGATCACAAGCAACGAACCTGGAAACACAGAAACACACAAAACGGATCGAAATCCACGAATCACAAATCACAAACCTTGACCTTTTGAACCCCCTAATATAAAGTTTTGTTTCCTAAGAGGTCCGTTACAGCGGTGATCATATTGGCGTGAACACCTAAAATATGTCTGGAATGTTTATTGTGATGTAACCAATTACAGACGAGATCATAAAGGGGCGGTGTTATGAAGTATCTTGCAAAACCAATAGAATTTTTTTTATTTAGTGCATCAATGACGGAAATTCCTCCAAAAGTGGCTTGGTTTTTGGCATTCTTATCATGACCATACATAAGAACAGTTTCAAGAAGAGACAGGAGGGAAGTACGCTCAATTATAACTTTAAGAAAGGAAGTGAAGACGTTTTCAGACAATTAAAAATCGCTTTAAGACTATCACTGATCGCAGTTTTCTCTGGCCTTGCAGAATGCCTTTCTCTTGTTTTTCAGTGGCTATTTTGTTCCGCCACCAGAACTCTAGCCCACCATGTTAAATATATGTGAGAAAAATGTTCTTGTTGAAAGCTTTGTATGTTTAAGAGCATGATATTCTGCGGATAATAATCCCTCCTAAGTTGTTTTTAGCTCAAGACCAGAAAATCAAAAATATTTTTAGAACCATTGGCCTATTAACAAACGAATTAGTCTAACCATGAAGCAAGTTTTATCCGTGAATTTCTCCGGGGCACCCAACGAGAATAGTTCAAAACCACTTAAACATGGCATTATTAAACGTATTTTAGTATTTAAACGGTAGATATAGGCTTATTTTTATCCCCTAAATATTTTTCATCTGTTCGGATTTCCTAGCTAGCTGAAAGTCTAGCGATCCGAAAATTATAGGGATCAAAACCTACCTTTTCGAAAATTTCAGCCAGAAAAAAGGCTCTGGAAAATTTTAGGTGACCTTTCTGGGTAAAAATCCGTTAAAAATGGGCAATTGTACCATATTTTAGATGTTCGAAAATCCTAGGAGAGGCAGGCGAGCAAAAAATTTTACGACAAATGTTTCCAAAATTCTAGATCTCAAATCGTCTTCCGAACAGATATTTTCCGAAAATTGACGTTGGGTGCCCCTGAATTCTGTCTGTAAAGTCTTGAGTTTTCATTTTTTGAAATCTTGATTAGTTTGGACCTTTGATCGATGTTTTGGTTTCCTTTACAGAAAATGATGCTCTCCGTAAGTGCTCGCTTACAGGATGAGGCAGTTACTTTCTATCGCGAGAAAAAAACCACAAAAGTCTCTTTCGGGAAGAGTTTCAGAGATATCTACTTTCTGGCAAAGAATTTATTTCATGCAGTTTCTAAGTTGTGATGTGTGTATTTTACGATCACAAGCAACGAACCTGGAAACACAGAAACACACAAAACGGATCGAAATCCACGAATCACAAATCACAAACCTTGACCTTTTGAACCCCCTAATATAAAGTTTTGTTTCCTAAGAGGTCCGTTAAGATGATTGACGGCAGCAAAAAACGCAATCGTCAGTTGGCTTTTGAACTTCAGAATTCGCATGTTTGTGAAAAGCGCAGTAAGGCCCAAGCTGAAAAATGAAACGCCAACAAGGGCAAAAATGATGCCCTGTTTAAGGATGGAGACCCCAAAAACCACCTACCCTATCGCCGATCACGAAAGACGTTTCCCGAAACATCCTTAACCGCGAGGAGCGAGTACAGACGTTTGTATTCGCAAAATACTATATGCTCAAGTGCCAGAAAAAGGAAACTAATACCGCAAAATCCCGGTTATAAACCTCGTGCATGGTTATAGGTCCATTCATATGTTTCTGATTATGTTCACAATCACAATTGTTACTTTTTAAAGTGGTGAGCCAAGCGAAAGCGAGGAGGCTACCAGGATAAAAAAAAGGCTGATCAAGGCTATACGGTGACTTTACTTAATTACAATGTTTTTTTTTATTCATTTTTTGAAAACAATACTGACAATTACAGCACTACATGTACATGAGGAAATTAAGTCGTAAAATTAACCAAGACACCTAGACTGATCAACTGCAATTGAGAAAACGTAGCACAAAATACTGTAACTTGCCGGATTCAAACAACTGTGTACATATTTTAACGGAAATAAGCTACTAGAGCGCATGCCAAGAAAAAGAAGCTGCTGACCATCGGTACTTTGCCTCCATTGCACAGGTCGGTCTCGCAACAGTTGAAATCGCAATCTTTGAACTTCATACCCAGACGCTGTGCGGCAGGCTTGCAACCGTCGTCCTTGTTGCAATTCTTTTTTTCAACACATGCTTTGACAAAATAGTTCACGTTTTTGCCATCCTTTTCTCCTTCTATTTTGACTTTCACGCAGCTGTTTTGGGGCGAAGCACATGCCGTATTGTTTCCAGGAACACAGTCATCCCAACTCTTTGGTGAATTTCATTGGTAGCACTTGATGGCGTGTCCTGCAAACCAAAGCAGAAGATCACTACTATATGTCCGTTTTAGGCTCAAGAGTCCGTTTAAAGGGGCGGTGTTATGAAGTATCTTGCAAAACCAATAGAATTTTTTTTATTTAGTGCATCAATGACGGAAATTCCTCCAAAAGTGGCTTGGTTTTTGGCATTCTTATCATGACCATACATAAGAACAGTTTCAAGAAGAGACAGGAGGGAAGTACGCTCAATTATAACTTTAAAAAAGGAAGTGAAGACGTTTTCAGACAATTAAAAATCGCTTTAAGACTATCACTGATCGCAGTTTTCTCTGGCCTTGCAGAATGCCTTTCTCTTGTTTTTCAGTGGCTTTTTTGTTCCGCCACCAGAACTCTAGCCCACCATGTTAAATATATGTGAGAAAAATGTTCTTGTTGAAAGCTTTGTATGTTTAAGAGCATGATATTCTGCGGATAATAATCCCTCCTAAGTTGTTTTTAGCTCAAGACGAGAAAATCAAAAATATTTTTAGAACCATTGGCCTATTAACAAACGAATTAGTCTAACCATGAAGCAAGTTTTATCCGTGAATTTCTCCGGGGCACCCAACGAGAATATAGTTCAAAACCACTTAAACATGGCATTATTAAACGTATTTTAGTATTTAAACGGTAGATATAGGCTTATTTTTATCCCCTAAATATTTTTCATCTGTTCGGATTTCCTAGCTAGCTGAAAGTCTAGCGATCCGAAAATTATAGGGATCAAAACCTACCTTTTCGAAAATTTCAGCCAGAAAAAAGGCTCTGGAAAATTTTAGGTGACCTTTCTGGGTAAAAATCCATTAAAAATGGGCAATTGTACCATATTTTAGATGTTCGAAAATCCTAGGAGAGGCAGGCAAGCAAAAAATTTTACAACAAATGTTTCCAAAATTCTAGATCTCAAATCGTCTTCCGAACAGATATTTTCCGAAAATTGACGTTGGGTGCCCCTGAATTCTGTCTGTAAAGTCTTGAGTTTTCATTTTTTGAAATCTTGATTAGTTTGGACCTTTGATCGATGTTTTGGTTTCCTTTACAGAAAATGATGCTCTCCGTAAGTGCTCGCTTACAGGATGAGGCAGTTACTTTCTATCGCGAGAAAAAAACCACAAAAGTCTCTTTCGGGAAGAGTTTCAGAGATATCTACTTTCTGGCAAAGAATTTATTTCATGCAGTTTCTAAGTTGTGATGTGTGTATCGGTAGCGTTGTACATGATGCTGCGAACATAGAGATCATGCAGAGTAAGTTTTAAAAAACACCGTCAAACATTGTAAACCCGTAACCCCAAAGAGTGGTCGTGGTCGCTTGAAGATGGTTGTTCAGGAGGTTCCAACTACAGGGCTCTGACTGGGACTGAAATTTCGGTGTTTTGAATCGGTGGGCAGTTATCGGAGGTATTCGCTAACGAGAAGTTGAGAAGTGGTCGCATATTATGAAAGTTTGGCTATAAACAATCAAAGATATTGTGCAATTTTCACTACTTTGGTACGGAAAATAACTTAAAATTTATTAATCTGTATGCAGCAGGGCCCATAATGTGGTTTTCTTTCGAGCAAACTAAGTGCCCCTGGGGGTAGCCCTTATATAAGCCATATAGGTATCTGCCGCTCCAACAAGTAGGGTTTTTGCGTCTTTTTGGTCTAAAAACGGATGTAGATTTTGCCCAGTTTGGTCTGGAGTCGGGTGTGGTTTTCGCGGGAACAATGTGAGTGTATGAACGTATTTAGTAACTCGCGCCGGATGTAAGGTGGAAATCTTTTTTTTTATCCGATGGCTAGAATTTTTTTTTTAGTAAGTAAAACTTTCGTATGTTTCATATGTCACATTTATACTGAATAATAACAAGAATTTAATACTTCAATTAAATTCATGAATAGACTAGAAAGCTTAAAGCAGGTGAGGTTCGTTTGACGCGATGAATAAAGTAAAACAAAAGATTTATTACAACAATAATCCGTTTGTCGGGTTCGAAGGAACAGATGACTAGCAACACATATTAAATCTGTAATAAACAGTAGTTATTAAATGTTACACAATCAAGATTTGGCTAAGACATTTAACGGGCTAGCATTACGAGGAAAGATCAAACTAGTCCAGAAAAGTTGGTCTGTAATTTCATTGTTATTCATTACACTGATTATCTAACAAAAGGTGTTTACTTGTCAACCAGTCTCAATCAATTGTTATCAGTTCCACTTAATGAAGTATAACTAAATGATTTGATCTCTGTCACTAAAAACGCAGGCCAACTCGAATAAGATCTTGAGAACGTAGAAGATTAACAAAAACAGTACGTTCCAGGAGAAACTTTGTTTTTCTGGAAAGGTTTGTTTGGTCAAGTAAAGGTCAATTAGTGCCAACTGAACGTATCCTTTGTTTTACCAACGCGTCCAATTAGGAATGAGCTATTAGAAAAGTGATGAAGGGTGGGGATTTTAAGAGAGGCAAGATTTTTTTTTTTGGTACATGTAAGGTGGAAATCTTTTTTTTACCCGGTGGCTGGAATTTTTTTTTTTTAGTAGGTGAAACTTTCCTATGTTTCATATGTCACATTTATACTGAATAATAACAAGAATTTGATACATCAGTTAAATTCATGGATAGACTAGAAAGCTATAAGTGGGTGAGGTTCCTTTGACACGATGAATAAAGTAAAACAAAGATGTATTACAACAATAGTCTTTCTCGGGTTCCAAGAAAATGATGTCTTAGAAACAAAAATTAAGTGGATATTTATACTTGTATTAAAATAAATCTGGCCCCCCCCCCCCCCCCCCTAGGTAGCGTACATGGGGTCTGACGGGCTTAACTAGCCATCGGCAAAATACACTAAGGATGTTAAATTACAATAAAACTGATAGTCAAAAGATTTTAAGTAACCAACCAGATAGCGATAGGTTTTGTAAATTTAGTTGTAATGGCATAACTCCTCGGGTATACACGCAGTTTATAGCAAGCAGAGTTCAGAAGCGAGATGGTATAAACCAGATACAAATTTTCCCATCCCGCCACTTCTACGGACAGTCTTCTGGTCTTTCTGGTGTTTGCATTCTTTAATATGATTTGACGGTAGTTTTAAGTATTTGTTTTAATCAGTTATCTTGGGTGTATTTACTTGCGTTTAAGTGTTCTCGGTTGTAATAAAGACTGTCAGATCCCAAAGAGTGTGTACGTGGTGGTTTAGATCTATAATAAACAGTAGTTATTAAATATCACACAATCAAGATTTGGCTAAGATATTTAACGGGCTAACATTAGGAGGAAAGATCAAACTAGTCAAGAAAAGTTGGCCTTTAATTTCAGTGTTATTCATTACACGGATTCTCTAACAAAAGGTGTTTACTTGGCAACCAGTCTCAATCAGTTGTTATCAATTACATTTAATGAAGTATAACTACACTCTTTTTTTTTTATATAAGAATGTTGTTTTTCCGGCCCAGGCTGAATATTCTTATTTTTCTGCCGATTTTAGGCTGAAAATATTCTTGTATTATTCTTAAATTATAGCTTATGACATTTCCGTTTTAGAATTTATTAAGCTATCAATTACAAGTGTTTGGTATCTAGATCTGTATCGCGTTACATCGTGCACGTGCTCCATCGCTTTTCGTTGCAGTCAGTTTATGTCTTTTGTGCTGAATACTGTACATACGTATTACATGTACCGTTCATCGAACTGTCATTAGCGTTGAACACTTTCCTATAGCTAGTGCAGGTTTTTTCGTTTTGTTGGCTAGTTTCGCCGTTCAGAGAAAGGAATAATTTTATACGGTTAAGTTAAAAACATAAAATTGTATTGTATTTACAGATGTTTCAACACACAAAATTATACCTATCCTTTTCAAAATCTCAGCCTCGGCTTTATTCTTAAAATATTCTTAAAATTTCGCAAATTTCAGCCTCGATATTCTTATAAAATATATTCTTATAAAAAAAAGAGTGTAAATGATTTGATTAGGAGATTCTGATGGACAGGGTTTCTGTCACTAAAAACGCAAGCCAACTCGAATAAGATCTTGAGAACGTAGAAGAAAACAGTATGTTCCAGGTAAAACTTTGTTTTCCTGGAAAGGTTTGTTTGGTCAAGTAAAAGTCAATTAGTGCCAACGGAACGTATCCTTTGTTTTACCAACTCATCCAATTAGGGATGGGCGATAAGAAAAGTGATGAGGAGGGGGGGATTTTAAGAGATAAGAGATGTAAGATTTTTTTTGTACAAATCACATTTGCTCAGTATAAATGCAG